ACTCGATGCGCCCGATACGTTGAACGAGGCCATGTCTCGTTTGCAGCACTATCACAACTTACATACCCAAACTTGTCGATTCTCTTTGATGCCGCGATCGCTATCAAGTGCTTTGGCGTCGCTGTCAGCTACCTGATCATCATTGGCGACCTTATGCCAGGCGTCGTGGTGGGATTTGCACCCGGAGCGGGAGAGATGTCGTTCCTAGTTGACCGTCAGTTCTGGATCACAGCGTTTATGTACGTGCATACGACTCTGAACTATACGATATATTTACAGCCATCTAACTTTTATAGGCTCATCGTTATCCCTTTATCATTCTTACGTCGTTTGGATTCTTTAAAGTACACTAGTGTTATCGCTCTTTGCTCTATCGCCTATCTGGTCATTCTTGTGGTGGCACACTACATTAAAGGCGATACTTTGCAGGAACGTGGCCCAGTCCGCGTTTTCCGCTGGGCAGGACCGGTCTCGGCTATGGCGGCTTTTCCGGTTATTGTTTTTGCATACACATGCCATCAGAACGTGAGTATTGCGCTCTTCTACATGCATTTCCAAGTTTCCCATACTCGGGAAATGTTACGCTCTAATTGCTTCATGTTATGACTCCGGATATCTTTGTGCTAACTCGCTCTAGATGTTCTCCATCTTGAACGAAATTTCTGATAACTCACACTTCCGCACTACCTCGGTTATCTTTGCCTCCATTGGCTCCGCATGTGGACTTTACATCCTCACTGGCATAACCGGATACCTATCGTACGGCGACAACATCAGAGGCAACATCGTCTCCATGTACCCCACCGCCGCCGCATCCACCATCGGCCGCCTGGCCATCGTGATCCTAGTCATGTTCTCCTACCCCCTCCAGATCCACCCCTGCCGAGCCAGCATCGACGCATGCCTCAAATGGCGCCCTCGTCGTCGGTCCCAAGGCGAAGTCAGCCCGTCGCGAGGGACCCTCCTCAACCAACCCCCTAAGCAGGGCGGCACCACCATCAAACACGAAATGAGCGACATGCGCTTCGCCGTCATCTCGACCGTCCTCATCATCCTCTCCTTCATAACCGCCATGACCGTCTCCTCCCTTGAGAAAGTCCTCGCCTACGTGGGCTCCACAGGCTCCACCACCATCTCCTTCATCCTCCCCGGCCTCTTCTATTACAAAATCTCCGACCCGGATAGCCCGCATCACCAGCGCCTCGTCAAGGACGAGGACGACGAGGACGAATTCGATTCCGCCGACGCCGAAGGCTACGTCATGAGCGATGCGCATCGCAGCCGCAACTGGCGCAGGGGCTTGCTGCGGAGCCTCAGCATGGCGCTCGCCGTGTATGGCTTCTGTGTTATGATTACGTGTTTAATTACGAATATCTTCTTGGTTGCGGCGCATTAATTTTTCTTCTGACGTTTAACTATCAATTACGTGGGCCCTGGTTTCTCGTTAGATTTGGATGGTTTGGCTCCATGTCCAAAGGCGCTTCTTAGATGACTTTTGACTATAACGGCCTGCACTGCGGGGATGGCGAAAGGGTGGGTGTGGTTGTTTGTACGACCATGAGCAAAGATGCTGTGTCTGTCTGTCTCTCATTACTTGTGGGCATTTGCGTGGCGTTGTTTATATGGATTAGAGCGGGCGGGCGTTTACGGCGGGTTTCATGGAAAGGTTGTCAATCTCTATTTGTTCAATTCTATTGAGCGTTGCGGCGTGTTTTTGATCGTCTTTTTGCCAGAGATATGCAGGATTTTTTTTTTCTGTAATTCTTCGTATATATACATTATATATATACAATTCGTCCCGTCTTCTTCTGGTAAGATGGAAAAGAGACGGGATTTTATATCATACAGCCATGGGTTTTTCTGTCTCTTTCTCTCTCTGCGACGAATGCGAACTGTGAAGTTTGTATGTATCCGTAAACGCCAATTGATGCATTCCCCATTCCGTACGGCGTACGTCTTCCTCTCTCCTATCACACCCCTTCTCTTCCCTAGTGTACAATCGACCACAGCAAGCGAAGGTCTTCCAAAAGTTCAGCACTGCCCTCTCAACTCGCAGTCAATATCCTACAATGATTTTTCTTGCCATCCAAGTCATACGTTTCTCTGTGACAGTACGAAGCCAACTACTATCACCTCGCCTCCCTTCCCTCGCATTTGCCATCGTGGTCAAAACAAGATATCGCGCAGAGTTTATGCGTTCGACGGAGTCGCAGCCGGGGTGGCGGTGGGCGGTATGATTGATTTTGCGGCGGAATCCGCTTTGACGACTTTGCCCTGGATCTGGGAGACGCGGTACTGCGGTTCCAGAATGCCGACCTATAACCCCTCCCCAGCTCAGTCAGCCACTATCATAAATAACAACCGAACCAGTGGTCCGGGACCCTCATAAAATCAGGCCCATTCCATCGCAAAATTCGTCAAGCAGAAAACCTGGAAGGTTGATTGATCCAACGTACCATGCTCAAAAGCCTCCATGCGGTATCACTGGGCTGCGCGCCAACACCGACCCAGTACCGCGCACGATCGAGGTCAAGCTTGATGTCCTTCCATGGGCGGCCGTGCGTGTCTCCTGGACGCGGGGGCTTGGGGATTGGGTCGTAGGTGCCGAGGACTTCGAGGGGACGCGAGTTGCGTGCTGTTCTGTTTTGCAATCGTTAGGGTCTTTGCTCTCTTTTTGAAGATATCGTGGTATGGATTTGGAAGATAATTGGGACGAGGGGGGATGCGGGAAAGGGTTCAATTGGCTTGGATGGGTAGAGACGGATGGATGTTCGGAGGAGACAAAGTACGGGGGGTTGGAGGCGAGGGCGGACGGCTTACCGGGCGTGCGCGACGACGATGTTGTAGAAGGGAGAATGCTTCTTGCCGAAGCGGGCGAGCCGTATGCGGAGGACCATGGTTGTTGGGGGGACAATGGTGTCTCTGGCTTCGATTCACGACGTTGCTTTGCGATGCGTGAAGCGTGAGGTCGGAGAAATTTGGGCCGGAGTATTACCGCACTGGGAGCTGCACGCACGGATTTGGGGATTTGACACGTGATTGGTCAATCATATATCAATGGTCTGATGAATCTATGGTAGAGATATGTTATTATTTACACTATCTTGAAAGCGGATTTTTACTTGAAGGAGCGCGAGTAGTTGAGCATATTTCATAGAATACATGCTTGCAATTTAGTACATGCATGCGACTGCCGTTTTGGAAAAGGTCCCCGGTGATGTAATCGCGTCACCTCATAGATGTACATAAAACTTGAACAACACTGAGCAGTTCAATCTTCACATTGTCAAAAAAGAATCGCCAATATAAAAATAAAAATGGCGCTCAGGGTAAGACTCCATGTTACCTCAGGTTACGTTTCTCATCAATACTAACAAGCTACATACTCAGACACTCTCAGCGAAGAATGCCGCAGCGCTCGATCAAGAGCTCATGTCCGCGGGCGCATTCTCAATCGACCAGCTGATGGAACTCGCTGGATTATCAGTTTCGCAAGCAGGTACGATATTGATACAAAACTCCATACCAAAATTCAATACTATCCTCGGCTCGACCACTTAATTCATCTCGATTTCTCCCCCGCATTCCTCGAAGACCAACACCATGTCCGAGCATCTTACTAACGAACTCAGTATTCAAACTCCAACCTCTAAACAAGGGTAAAAGAATACTCGTCGCATGCGGACCGGGCAACAATGGCGGCGACGGCCTAGTCGCAGCGAGACATCTTCATCACTACGGCTATCAACCCACCGTCTACTGTCCAAAGCAAAGCAAGAACGAGCTCTACCAGGTAAGAGAGAAAACACCTCTCATTCTCGAAAATTGGGGGAAAATGGGGTGAGATGAAACAAGAACCCTGACGAAAAATATTAAAGCGTCTCCGAAAACAACTCGAAGACCTAAAAGTCCCCTTCACCTCCGACTTCCGCACCGCCCTGCAATCCACCGACCACATCGTCGACGCAATCTTCGGCTTCAGCTTCTCAGGCGAAGTCCGCGAGCCGTTCCCCGGCGTCATCGAGGCGCTCCGCGAGACCAAGGTCCCCGTGCTAGCCGTCGACGCGCCGTCATCGTGGAACATTGAAGAAGGGCCCCCGAAGGACGGCCCCGGGAAGGGGTTCATGCCTGAAGCGCTGATTTCGCTGACGGCGCCCAAGCCGTTGGTGAAGTGGTTTGAGGGCAGGCATTTTGTGGGAGGGAGGTTTTTAAGCAAGGAGATGGCGGAGAAGTATGGCTTGGATGTGCCGAAGTATGAGGGGTTGGATCAGGTTGTTGAGGTTGGGGTCGAGGGTGCGGAGAAGCTTTAGGGGAAAGGGGGTGTGTGGTATATCCTGAAGAAAGAGTCGTCTCCCCATCGAGGCACTAACGACATACTGAAGACTCCCAATCGAGTTTTCCACTACTTTTGTGCCCGGAGTATATGTGTGTCGTGCTAAATTATCTGTTATCAAGAGACACCGTGGAATATCGTTTTAAAAACCTGAACAATATACCAAAACCTCCTTCCTCAAGTCCTCCACTAATTGTGCCCCAAGGTATTCGATGGTATAGCGCACAGTTGCAATGTCAGTATTCGCACCTCGACATGCTTCAACATTGCTTGAACGCGTTTGCCAGCACTTATTATAACATATGTATCTTCAGCTGCGTTACCACGACGGCCACCCTTACCTCCTAAAACCCCCAATCTTCCCCTTCCTTATCCCCACACAAACCCCCCCAAAAAAACATTGTAACACAAACTAACCCATAAACCCAAACCAAAAAGAAAAATCACCAAAATCACCGAACCGTGGTCTTTACACAATATACACACACGCAACACAATACCTGCAAGATTTAAGTAAGCGCCCCAAAAAGTCCCACACACACAACAAAAACCCCCCCGATTATATCCCGTTCCGTCCGCCCCACAATGACTCCACCCATCCCCATCCTTTCTGTATCTCTCTCCCCTCACTATAATTCTCTTAAGGCACATAAATTCTGTAATTGTTGCCCGTTTGGCTTAGTGGTACAGCGTCTCACTCGTAAGTTTCACATCTATGTATCTACACACCGATAGGGTACGTATGTGGCATGTATATGCGACATGAGAAGATCCTCGGTTCGATTCCGAGAATGGGCAGGCAGGCGAAGAGCTTGTTTTTTTTTTTTGTGATGGGATGGAGAAAGACGATTTTTGGTCGGAAGGTTGTTGGTATATATATGTTTTGCGTGGGTTTCCTGGCGGTGTGGTGAACAGGATGATGGGAGGAGGAAAACAATGGCTTTGTTTGCTCGATGAGCGCGAGGGTGCACGTATGTATGCAGGTAGTTTAGTTTTTTTTTTCTCTTCCTTTTGTTAAATTTGCATGAGGTCTTTATTTAACTCCATATGTGAATTAGCCAATCTATACGTAATAGACAAAATCAAAAGTTGAAGGGGAAGAGAGATGACGACGTGTGGAAGAAATGCATTTGAATGAATTGGATATTCAATCCCGTGGAAGGATCTCTGAATAAATAGTATTGATACATTACTTACTATACGCACATACTCTCTCTACGTATCTACTCTTTACCCTTAACCTCCCTCGTCAAGCACAAAAAAAATTCAATCCAAAAAAAAATGTTTCGCGAAAAAAAAGATCTGACCTCTACCTGATTCGAACAGGTAACCTTCAGGAACTTCCAACATTAATCGTGAACTGGAATCTGACGCGCTACCGTTGCGCCAAGAAGCCGAATTGGAAATTTGATCCAATCAGATTTGATGGAATTTTTGCTGGGTAATATGTCTTATATACAAGATTTACAAAAAGTTGAAAGATGGGTGTGGGGTGATAGATGTGAAGCTATTTTTTTTTAATCTTCCGCCGGGGAAAAAAGGGAAATGTGTGGGGCTCGCGATTTTTGCTAAAATCAGGAAAAAGTTAGTTAAGAGTCATTTAGGCGAACGAACAAACACGCGAACCTCGCTCTTACAGGACAGTGGAAGTTAGACTTCAGCACGGTAGATTTTTTTATACTGTATGTACGTCAGGAAGCTAATACTCTTTATAATATATTTTTAGAAATACGTATTATTTAAATAGTAGTAAAAGTATAGTATCTAGAGGTTATATAGTATGTTGGGTTATGTTATCTTCTTTTTTTTTCAAGTACAACTTCCACTGTCCTGTAAGAGCCTCGTTAATCGCTTTCTTTACCACGAAACGGATAAAATAGGAAAATCTTCTTCTTAAGCCCTTTTCATTAGTTTTTTTGCGTCTTACTTACTTCCTTCCCTACCTACCTCCCTCCACCATCAACCCTCCACCATCCACACTCCACCACCAACCCTACACCATCAACCCTCCGCCCCCCTTCCCTCCCCTTCCCTTCCCTCCCCTCCCCTCCCCAAACCCCCCCAAACCAAACATCCATCCGACAGCTCACATACATAAACCCCCCCCCTAAAAAAAACCGCCCCCCCTAAAAAACCCCCCCCTAGCTTTTCCCTTTCCACATACACCAATCAATACACAATGCACAATGCACAATGCACGCACGCATCGACTCAAGGTAAGTAAGTAAATAAAAAAAAGAATGTGTGTGTGTGTGTGTGTGTGTGTGTGTGTGTGGGCATCATTGATTTCTTTTGATATGTATGTATGTATGTATGTATGTATGTATGTATTAATGGGTAAGTTAAGTAAGTAAGTAAGTAATGACGGAAACGGAGATCGAGGGGGAGGGGGGGGGGATGAAAGAAAAGAAACAAATATTCGGATGGGTAGAATTGATGGAGTACATATGTACTTAGGTAGGTTAGGTAGGTGAGCTGCCCATGCATGTTTCGAACTAGTTATATGGAGAATAAGAGGAAGGTGGACGGGTGGGAAAGGGGCATAATGCAGAGTAGGGAGGAAGGGAGTTCTTTGTATTCATTTGGCTTTTTTTTTCTCTCGACATTTCGAGGCGGGGTATTGACGACCTTTTTTTTTTTAAAAAAAAAAAAAAAAAAAAGGAACACCTAGTCCCCCATTCCCTGCATTCCCTTCCTTTTCCCTGCCTGTACGTACCGTCGTCGCTAAACGGAACCAAACCAAACCAAACTAGAATGCATTATTTAAAACATCAGGGATGCATACATATATTCGTAGTTGTACGTGTGCATGCTTAGCTAGAACGGTATTTAATATATATTTTTAAAAAAAAAAAAAAAAAAAAAACAAATTTCTCGAAAAGGAGACTTATTTTCACTCTCGTGGATTCATATCACACACACACACACACATACACACACTCTGCACACATATATGTGCCGTACAAGGCACGCACGCACGCACGCACGCTCAAACGAGAGATTACGGAGATTGGAACAACGTATGAATCGAATAGATGAGATGGAATAGAAGAAGAAAAAAGAATTAGCAAAACACTAGCCTAAATTATAGAGAGACAACCCCCCACCCCCAAAAAATACCCCGCGGGTCTAAGGAAACAATAGAGAAATAGGGGGAAAACTAGAGGAGAGGGGAGAGAAGAGAACAACGGCCAGGAACATGGACGAAGGAAAAGGAGCAGGAAAGCGCAAAAGCAAGACTGGAAAATGAGATTCCAAATCAGGCCGGCTTGTCACACCCGATCCTCCCAAGCAACTCCTTGCGATCCACGTGTCCAGGGATGCTGATGCCGCTCGCCCTCGAACTCCCGCTGCTCCTAGAGGTCCTCTCCCTCCGTTTCGAAAAGGTCAGCGCTTCTACGCCAACCTCTTGCTCCACGGGTGCCCACTCGACGCCGGCCTTGGCTGCGTTGATGGGGTGGTTCACTACGCGCTCGAGCTCTTCGTCCACCTTTTCGTCCTCATCCTCGCCCTCGTCTTCGTCGTCGGAACGTACGTCGTCTGCTCCCTTTCCGCTAAGGACCTTGTACACGACCTTGACGATCATGGCAAACCAGAGGAGGATCAACACCTGGAGCGCAAGGAGCAGCGTCAGGAAGCTGTAGCGGATTGTCGGATTCCAACAGACAGGCCCCTCGCGGTCTGTGTATGCTTTGACCAGGTTGGACCACACTAGATTACCGCCGAGGGATTCGTATTCGGTAGTTTCGTTCGAGGGTACAACGCGCCCGTCGGGGAAGTAACAGCCGGGCTGCATGTCGGTAGGGGCATGTTTGTAGATAGACCAGCACACAATCGGGAAGAAAACTTGTCGGGTTATGAGCCAGGTGACTACAAAGAGTCCGAAGAAAACGTCGCACAGGTTCGAATATCCGGTATATTTAAGGAGCTTTGCAGTCTAGGCACAGTTAGTTGATGCGCCTTGATGCAGTTGAAAAGGAGCTCCTAAACAAGGTGAGGCTTACCGGGAGAATGATGTCGACCAAATCCATGAGACAGAGGATCACGATACCGACGCGCGTGTGATAGTATCCATAGGAAAGGAAGAGTAGCATGCAGGTGAAGATGTGGTGTGTGAACATCTCATGGTAGTCCTTTCGTCTTTCTTCAATATTGACCACAACGATTTGTTGTAGCCAGAAGGCAGTTTGGAACAAATAGTAGAACTTGGAGACGCCGGTGATCTCGCGGAATGGCCACCCTCTCCACAATCCATGCACGTTAAACCAGAACTCGGAGTTGTAGATGATGTACTGCGTTTGGTCAGCTCCCCACCCAATAATCGCATCTGCTGCTGCTGCTGCTGCTTGTACGCACCATGCCCAGTGACCACGAGCAAACACAATAACAAACTAGCCATGCCTGCTCCTTGAACCTCTCCAAACCCTTCTTTGTCTTGATTCCGCTCCATTTCGCAAATGGGGCCAGAATGTACTCCATAACTGCAACTCTCAAGCCCGTAAATATGACCAGCCACAGCGCAACGTAAGGTAGATCGTCGGTGCCACATCCGTACTGATCAGTTTCGGAATTGTAGTAGGAAAGACGGAAAAATGTAGAGGTGCGTCGCCGGGCCCGAGGGAAGAAGCTGTGTGTGAGGGCAAGGAGGAGAAGTAGGTTTATCGAAATGCCTGTTGCGCGAAAATTAGCTATTTTTGTATCCATGATTCAATGGCACAGGTAAGCATACCCAGTTGATGCTCACATATCTGTGCGCAGAAATATGCCACAAGACTCTCTTCTGATGGTGATTTCTTAGCATTATCCTTCGCTTTCGTTGCTGTGACGGTGTCGTTTTTTCTCTTTTCATGCGACCGGGTAGCGTCCGAGCCATTGGCAAGAGGGCCACCGTGGGAGCTCCGACAGGTTGTTACCATCTTGGTCGCCATTGGGTGGTGAAGGATTTCAGGTGTGCGGGTTTTGGCAGCAGTGGTGGGCCAAGGATCGAGGGGTGGGTATCGTAAAAAGCAAACTGGTACAGGCTTTTAAGCTAAGGGGGAATCGATTGCGGCGGGTTCAACGAGTGACAGATGGCGTAGGGACGAGTAACGAGCGTGCACTGCGCACTATGTATCAATCGACGAGGCTAGATTCAAGCAGGCATTGGTATCCAGACTGGGGAACGGCGCCGTGTAGGTGAGGATGTGCGGGCCCGGGGCGGCGAAGGGTAGCTCCTTTAGATCTAATGCCAATGGCTACGCGGGGATGGTATGGGTAGGTGCAGACACGGGTATTAGGGCGACGGTGGTGCACCTAGTAGGTACATGTATGTGTGGAGGTGTGAGGTTGCGGGGAGCGAAATTCGCGTTTGAAACGGAAGGTGGGTAGGCGGTGTGGTGTAACTGTAGGACCTAGGTTGAGAGGTGCAGAAGCGGTTGAAGCAATGCTGCAATCTGGCAGGCGCCGATCCACCACCCCTTGAACTTTTGGGGCTCAAAAGGGCGTTTGCTGGGTGGAATTGTGTAGGCTGCTTTATGGAGGCAGGAATTGGCCAGCTGTGTGGTACTGGGTGCGTACGATACTGCCAAATAGGTGAATGGTGCGAACGGTGGTAGCAACCTGATGACTTTGGGGCACAAGCGACTGGCTGGCTGGCTGATAGGTGTGCCGGAGCGCTTGAAACTTTTTTTTCTCTCTCTTCTCCTTGCCCCAGACAACGAGACAGCAATGGTGGAGCGATTGTAGTTTTTGAATAAATGAACAAACAGAAACACAGCTGTCAAGGAAGTGAGTACTTGTAGCACACTCGAGGAATCGGAACAAAAAACCAGCGGAAGCAAACAGGAGACGAAGTGAAACAGGGACCCTTTTCTTCGGGGGGCCTGGCTGAGGGTGCGGGCAGTGGGCAGTGGACAGCGGGCAGCGGGCAGCGGGCAGCGGAACTCTGTCTATCGCCTTGGTCGCATTGGGCAGGGCGCCCGCGCAAATTGGTCTAAGCGCGGCAACTCTTTATTTCTTCCTGTGCTCCTCTGCCATTCAATAACCAACTACCTAGGTAGTCACCTCGTTCTGCTCGTCGGCTCTGGAGGTAGCTCGCCAAGCCCACAGGGGCATTCCCAGGCAAGGCAGGTTGCATGATCAACCTGTGCAAATCATCCAATCGTTGCCCCATGTGCCAACCTGCCTGCCCCCTAGCTCCGCACCCCACCATGCCCAGCACTCGCCTCCGCCGTCAAAAAAACATTGAGAGAGAGGGGGGAATCACCAAGGGTCCATACAACACACTTCAAGCGGTCAAGAGTATGCATAACGAGTTAATACAGGGACTTCATTCTATCAATAACAGGAATATCAAGACATTTTCGCCAGCCATCCACTCTCCATCGTCTTCGAACACATCGGTCCCCACCCCAAATA